TCACCAAATGAGAGTTTATAACCTGAAAATAAGGACCTGCCTAATGTGTAGCAACATCATTTTTAAAGGAACTCCTTAAAAGAGTTCAGAAGCAACAGTGCCATTCTTATTAGCAAAATATTAACTATCATAAGCCTGGGTTTATATAAATAACCAGTGTGAAACAAAATGAAATATTCATACTATTTTCTATACATTTTCCAACAACCAGATGTTTGGAACTATGTATATAAAACATCTAGATGATTGACTGAAAATTTAAGTATTTGTCATGATATTTGGCACAGTGTTGACACAGCTTATGCTGAGGAGTGTATTTTTGGAACTGTTTCACTCATCTTCCTATAAAGTAGGTAGTCTAGCAGATATTTTGAAGTGGAAAAAAAAAACTTTCCAAGAAAAAACATGCCATACTCAGTTAAAGGGTATATTCATTACTGAACATTTTTATTCAGATTATTTCACTATCTATACTTCAAGAAAATCCTAACATCATTAGCTATTAAAGTGTTCCATTTCAAAGTCTACAGAGGACAAAAAGATCTGAGTTTGTGCCCTGAGAATCGCATCATCCTGCCTCCATTAAGGATATGACCATCTTTATTCCACCAGCCTCTCCCACTCTCATTAAATTCTCCACTCTGAACAGGAAACCCCTCACCTATGCTGATGACTCTAAGAAAGCACAACACAGTCTGTCACATGGTTAAGAGTGTAGGCAGATGGGCTTCGGTCAAGACACAATCTTCTAGTACATTGTTTCTCCATTCATAAAATGAAGATGATAGTATCTGGCTCATAGGGTTATGTAAGGATTAAAAAGAATAACAAGAGTAAAGTGCTTAACAAAATGCCTAGCACAAACTAAACATACTATTTAGTATTTTGAAGTGGTTCCTGAAGCAACATAGTCAAATGTATCTCTTTCTTATTTCAAGTAGTTAGGAGCTCAGCCACCTCTACCCCACACCTACCACTTTACACTGGTCACTGAACATGGTTCCCCACCTACTGACTCAGACTGCTTAGTTTGTCCTTTGTGTTGTATAGCAGTTATTTGCATCACAGTTCTTTGCATTAAGTACATGTTATCGTAAGTGAATTTGGGTGTGACTTTGCTTCCTCAGTTAGGTTGCACTTTGGGAATTTTTATATACTTTACCATATTATTCCTTCCTCTAAATGTATCTTAATTTTTTTTTTTTACTTCATTCATCCACTCAACAAATATTTATTTTTATTGTCCATGTGTAGGCCCTTGGAATATACAGACATGACCAAGTAGACGAAGTCCCTGGATAGTACTTCCAACAGGGTGAGACAGAAAACAATCAAGTAAATAGATAGCATGTCTAATAGGAGTATTGGGAACACTGGAGTTATTTTTGTTATTTAATTACAGTAGCTAATAGAGTGAAGACCTGAAGAAGATAGGGAACAAGTCATGCAGAACTCTAGGGGAAGAGACAGCAAATGCAAACTTCTTGGGGCAAGAGCATTCGCGTCTTGTTGTGAACACAGCTAAAGGACGATGGTCTAAAGCAGAGGAAACTGGGAAAGGTGGCAGCCGGTAAAATGAGTGGTAGCGATAAGGAAAGCTTCAAGGAATTAGATTAAATAAAACCGTTGGCCACTAGTAGGATTAGGGTTCTAAGGAGCAAACTGGGAAGGCTTGGAGTTGTTGATGATCAGGTTTAAATTCCAAATGTTTATTTTGTTCAATGTGAGAAGAAAGGACAGGTTATAAGTGTCAAGGAAAGAAGCTAGAGACTCTCAGACAATTATAATAATACAATTATGACAACAATTTAATTTTTACTTCTGGTTCTACATAATGGCTATTCATGAATATACTTTATCATCCTTACTAAACTATGAATTTTCTATAGGCCAGAATTAAAACAAATTTATATTTGTAGATATTAGAGTTATTGATTCCAGAAAAAAATAATGTGGTGCCCCAAGAATGCACAACTAAATTATCACTATTCCTGGGGCCACCTTCTACTGCATCCCAACCCCTAACTCTGCCATACCCTGAACACATTTTTCATTCCGGAACTCCTTTTTAATATAATATACACATGTCAGACAATATATCTTCCTATTGTACAGGAAAATAAAAAAGGATAGATGGGGAAAACAAAGAGGAGATAGAAAGGTAAAAGACTTAGTCCTTATTCTCAAGGAATCATATGTATGTGTTTTGCCTATTTCATACATTTTATATAATCTCAGAGCCTTAAAACTACATATATCCTATGTAAGTATCTTCTGATTTTATAAGATAGAAAGACATTCCTAGGCCTTCTTATTCTCGATTTGTAAAATTCCATATATGTAATTTAAGCTATTTAAGTTGTAACTCAGTAGTGTAATTTGAGAATAATTCTGTAGGATTCTGAGGAAATAATATCCCCAAAAAAGTTTTGTTTTTTATTTTTCCCTGAGTTTCATTCAAATGTCTTCCTAATGTAGGTCTTGAAAAGTTTTGGGTTGGGACCGATCACCACTCTGAAATATAGTAATCCAGACCAAGGAGACATAAAGGCACATTTGTTTTTTTCATTTTTCATGCTGAAGAAGTTAAGTTCCATTCATCTATGATGGCCCCTGACATGCCAGTCAGAAGAATAGTGTTTATGGTGAGACTAGGAGTATAATCCAGAGCAGTCCATGAAGGCTCTAGTATCTAAAGGCTAGTTAATCTCTGTGGTTTTACTAATGTCCCACAAATAAAGTAAAGCTCCTGCTGCCTCTAGGGAAAGGGAAATGTCAGGCAGAGTGCTCTAAATTAGACTTTCATGGTAAAATATCCATTAATAATTAATTTTCTGCTTCTTTTAGAATAGGACAGGTTAAGCAGTTGGTCACATTCAGTAAATAAGAAATTACTTGCAGTAATTTCTGCAACATTCTAATCATCTTTCCATTTCTGAAAACTATTTTCAAAGTCTTTTATCTGTACTATGTTGGAAAGGACATTGATACAGCAATACAAGACTTGATTATGAATTCAGCTTTTCCACCAGTAATTGTGTGGCTCGGGCATATCATTTAACCTAAACATTTCATTTATTTTCTAGTGATGAATTGGGCATAGAAATCCATACCCCACAGGGTTGTTAGGAGCACCAGATAGAATAATGTGTGAAGGCCACAGAATGCAGAGGTCACACAATAAGCCCTTGGTGAGCCCAGATATTACATGCAAACATTGGAATTATCACAGTTCCAGGAGTGGTATTTCAGTGTTCTATACCAGTACAAATGTGATCTTGTGAAGTGGGAATTATGTCCCCTCTATCCTCTTTCTGCATAGTATAGAGAATGGCAATATACTATAATTGTTTAATTATGTCATTAATGTGGGTTTTATTTTCTTCATTAAATACATAAGGAAAAGCTTTCTAATTAACAGTGACCTTTATGACTTCTAATAGTTTGGATTCTGTAGATGGTGAAGCTGCCTGCAAATTAGATTCTGCAATGTACCTTGTTCCTTATTTTTTTCACCCAGTGATTAGTTTCATACAGTTGGCAGCTGCCTACCCTGTTGCATTCAGCTTGCAATTTTGTAGCAATCTCAAACAGTGTGTTCAATCCCCCAAGGTGTTCTGCAGAAATGCTGTCAAACTATTTCGATGTGTGTGTATTTTCATTCGGTAGCTGTGCTTTGTACTCATTTAAGAGAACTGGTCTTTAATTTGTATCTGAACGTTTTCAAGATGAAACACAGAATTCCAAGCCTCAGCAAAATCACTGACATACAACCACAGCTTCTTTCTGTTCTAAATCTTGCCATGCCTGACTTCTATTAGATACAACACTACATTTTTTAATCTTGCTATAGAAGACAGCTTTGAATAAATGGCTTCAAATTTGGCCTTAAAATTTACTAATTGTCATCAAGCTTTCTGTCATCATCTGGCTCTAGTTTACTTTTCCAATTTCATCCCTCTTAACTTCTACACTGTTTCCATGCTTATTTGTACTTCCTTGAAATGCCTAGCTGTCTCTCTCTCTCTCACCTTTCCCTGGTTGTGTGTACACATCTCCTCTGTCTACAATGCCATGTCTTCTACTCACCTCTTTATCTCAGGCATTTCCTATTTCGGAAAGCCTTTCTCTATACATCAGCACACTTTCTGAGTAAAGTAATCCCCTTTTGTCTCTCATGTACCCTGTGACTGATTTAACCAAAATATTCTTCTTTCTGAGTAGGACTGATTGGTTTGCTTGATTGTCTTCCTAGCTTGCATAAACATTTTGGAGAGCCAATGTAATTCCCTTTTGAATCCATATATAGTAGATGCTCCGTAAATACTGTTGTGTAAATAAATACTTCCAGGAAAAAAATTGGGCAGTTTATTGAAAGGACAGCAAACATTTGGTACTAAAGTTATTGTATTAGCCTAACTATCTTTAATTATAACAATAAAATTATTAGTAAAATGCATAGTTTCAGCATATAGGTTTACCACTCTGCAAATGCAGGTAGTTTTTAAGGTAAACATGTATATGATACTATGCTATGCTTTTTACATCTGTTACATTATATTCAGAATTGAGTTGGGTTAAACCAGGCTACCTCATAAACCTTTTCAACTTTTTATAATTTCAAAGAAAGAAATGTGTTTTAATGTTGAAAATTGCAATTTGAACTAGTTTAACCTTATTTGAATTTACTTGTCATCCAGAGTGAAAAAGGATTTTGACTGCCTTTGATTAGAATACACACACACACACACACACACACACACACACACACACACACACACTAAAAAACAAAACTAAACAAAACTGTATGCAGGTATCGTTTCACATTTGCATTGGGAATGGAAGATGTAGCAGTGCATTCATGTCCCTTGTGTTTATGACTGATGTTTGCATTTGATACAGTGCTATAATTCAGCATATGGAAATACACTCAGAACAAAGATAATGTTGTCTCTTATTTTCATTTTGATTAATAGTGTTTTGTCTCTGGTAATTTGTAGATGTTATTTGGAAGATGGAGCTTCAAAGGGTGCCTGGCTGAACCGGTCAAGTATTATTTTTGCGGGAGGAGATAAGTGGTCAGTGGATCCTCGAGTTTCAATTTCAACATTGAATAAAAGGGACTACAGCCTCCAGATACAGAATGTAGATGTGACAGACGACGGCCCATACACGTGTTCTGTTCAGACTCAGCATACACCAAGAACAATGCAGGTGCATCTAACTGTACAAGGTATGTGTTTCCATCCCTGCTGTATTGTGAAAGACTATGCTTAGAAACATTCAATATTGAGATATCAAAATAACTGAGAACTCACTGACAGTGTTGAAAGATTTGTCATTGTCTTTAGGGATTCATGTTCTTAGGTTCTTTTAGGTGTAGTGACTATTATAGGCATACAAATCCCCCTTTACCAAGATCAAAAATTATCCATTAACATCACATTATGTTTTTGTGTATATGATTCTTTGTATTTTCTTTTGAGTCACCCCTTCAATAAGTCTTTCAGAATTCATGATGGATATATTAAAATATTAGAACTTTTTAAATATAGATAGTAACTCTTTAACAGTAATCTTCCAGTGGAAGGAGACAGTCTGCCTCAATCTAAGTTCTTCCACTTTGATTCAAGTCACAGTGAAAAGAAGTAGCCTTCTAGAATTACTTTATTTAAATATAAAGTAATGGAAAAAAATATGGTACACAATGCTTTACACTTCGCTTTACTTTCCATAGATCACAAATTATATTAGCTAACTTACAATCTCCAAATACAAAGGGAGTCATCAAATTATTTTTTCTTGCATACTTAAATGTAAGAGTATATTTATCCCTAATACAAATACTTTTCAGGACAAATGTAATTAATTATAACGCTAGTAGAATAGAAAATGTATATATTTTTCCTTTCACATTTCCTCATCCTCATAGATTAATCTTGTGTTGGTTACATACAAATATTATGCCGTAGAACTCAAAATGGCATTCTAGCATTTCTCAGTAAAATTAATAGCAAATTATATGATAATGTGGTGCTACTGCATGCATGGCTTTATTCTTACCAATAAAGTAGAGGGGCAAGAAAGTTGTATTATCTCTGAGTTTACCCTTCTAAAAATAAACACGAAGTATGAATTTAGGTACATTGCATACATCTGGAAAAGATTGTTGAAATATAGCTTTATTAACTAAGCTTTGTTTCTAAGCTTTATTAATTGAGCTTGCATAAAGGTAAACCCACAGTCAAATACAGCTTCAATTATTAAATATTTTAATTTTGTGATAAAGATTAAACTTATTATTTAAACACTATTTGAAGACTGATGGGATAAATTGAAGTCAGTGAATTTCCACAGTGGTCTTTCTTACTATGGATCATGACAGATTGTGTTGATATTCCTTATATAAAATCATGTGAGAATATAATAAAGTTTTCACTGAAATCCTCGTTTACTCAGAGATTATCCAGAGTTTCCAGAGGGCAGGAGTTTGTCCAGCTTCAGAAACTGACATGAGATTACAAGCCAAAAACACATTTCTTCTGTTATCCCAGCCTAATCCTGTTTTCTTGTTTAGTTCTGTGCCCTTCGACTTCAGTTTTTAGCTCAAAGACTATGAAAGATTTTTACTACATGAGAAAAAATACACTTGGACAATAAAATATTTGAGTCACTTAAAACATGGACACTTTGCTTCTCCAAGGTTTAAATGATGTATTACTGGACACTAAATATATCCCTCTTTCCCTTTTTTTTCCCATTCTCTCTTATAGCATGTTAGGCCCATATTTTTAAACCAGACTATGAATATAAGCATTGTCCAGGCACATGTTTAATTTCCATAGGTTTCTTTTTAACTTTATATTACATAAAATTGTTTAACACTGCACAATTTCTTTTAACTGTTACACACCTTACTAAGGAACTCTTTTTTCTTTGTCATCTGATGGTGGTCAGCTTTTGAGTGCCATTTTAGGAAATGCATTTGAGCAATGCACTTACTGAATGTTTTACTGGTATAATATTTTGTTCCTCTAGAAAAAGAAAGTTCATGATACTCTTTGAAAGTATGTAGTTGGGCCAAATTAAAACCTAATAATTTTACAGTATTTATGAACATAATTACTTATTAGAAGTTGATTGACATGTGGGCAGTTTTCCAATTACATTAATAAAGTTCAGGGAATACATTAATAGGCTTGTCAGTCAATTCAAGAACTAAATAAATGTCATAAAAAGCCAAACCCACTTAAGCTACATTTCCCTCAGTGAATGAAAATAAACTGATATGCTTATCTCTTCAGTTTCTGTATTTGTTACGTTGTCTGACGGTCAGGGGTATCTCCACAGTTTTGAAGTATATGCTCTTTGCCTAACAATTTGTCAAGTCTATTCACCAAGATAAATATATTTAGCAACTAAGAGAAAATGATACCAATCACTGATAGCCAACACACATTGGCTGGTAAAAACAAAACCCATCCTTATTGTGCGATTTTGTACTCAAGGGAGCTGTTAAAAAAATCACTGTAGAAAGGGTATAATAAAAGGGCCTTGCCACTGCAGACATTGTGCATGGGAAATCTGTTGGTGCAACTGACTTCTTAGAGCTGTAAATACCAATGAATGGAACAATCCTCAGTTTTCCCTCATGAAATGGGTAATTGTCAAGCCTCTCTAAACTTAGATTTCCCATTTGGAAAAGGAAGACTCAGACCTGAAGATCTTTAAGCCCTGCGCCAGTCAGAAACAAAAAGACAAGACAGATAACAGGCAAACAGAAAACAACCACTGTGATCATTTTCTCTTGATTTGAAAGGACAAAAAAGTTAGGTTAAAAATGAAAAACTCCATAGCACTTGTGCAACACTTGTGGCACTATGCAAAGTAATTTTTATACAGTAGTACCTTCTGGTCTTAACTCTGCAAATTTTATTGAATTTTGCCCCAGTCAAAACCTTAATTGTAGCCTTGTGGAGACTCTGAATAGAGGACCCTGTTAAGATGTACCTGGACAGAAACTGAGATAATAATCGTATGTTGTTTTATTTATCTCCATGTTCTTTTTCACCAACTGAGCTGAATATGTATGTATCTACATATAACATAGTACTCATAAATCAAGCTACCTAACTGTTCAGTGTTTCATATCATGGGGGACAGCATTTAGTACAAGAACCATTCTTGTTCACGAGTATGAAAAAGTATAAGGCTGGAGGACTTGCCATGAAGCCAGAGCTCTCTGTACCCTCAGTACTGTAATGATAGGAATCATGAAATGTAAATGCTGCCCACTTAAATATATGATAGGGAAGGTTTCTACTTCGAGTCCATGTCTAAAGCCTAAGTTGTAAAGATACTTACATTAAATGTGTATGCACAACACCACCCCAGCTGGAACCTTGATTGCAGCTCCTTTCTGAGGGGCTGTGAACAGAGGAGCCAGTTAAGATATATATGGGCAGAAATGGAGGTAATAAATGTATGTTATTCTAAGCCACACATACACACACTATATATATATATATATATATATGAAATGTTTGTCAGTCAGCTTCTGCCTTCTGAGGGAGTTACCCTAGTTTCTCTAAGCAAAGTAGAGGGATATTTGACTAGCACCTAACTATGACCAAAATAACCTCTCAAATGTATTTAAGTTCCGCAGGGTATTCTCATTTCCTCACGATATCTGATTTACCTAGGATATTTGTAATAGATGGGGTGGTGGCACACTTCCCTTTCCAAGGATGGATTTGTTTTACCAGTTGCTGGAAGTGTCATCAGACAGCATTTAGTGATCAGCCTTTCAGGGATAGCCTCCTTGCCCAAAGTTACACCCTGCCTAGGGCAATCATCTGATGACTGAGGCGAGGCAGGGAGTATAAGGGCCTCTCCCCTTCAGCCCAAAGTGATAACCCTGAGAAGCCATTTCAGCTCCAGAGCAGCAGAGGCTGGCACTAGTGTGCACTACGGTTCAAGTTCTTTCTCAATTTTGCTCCATTCATTCCTGTCTCCTTCCTGTACCTTCTCCACAAGGGTTTTTCTATTACAAGGGTATGTTCTAATAAATATCCTGCATTTTAAATTCCATCGCGTTTCAGTGAATATCCCAAACTATGACAATGTGAAGGTAGATTTCAATGAACATTATTTTTCTTTGCAAAAGCAGTAAGTGTTGTGATCATATTTTTCTAACCAAAAGTAGTCTGTGAAGTTTTATATATTGTGTAACTCAAGATCTTACATTAGAACAGTATCATAGATCAACTGCACAAAAATACATAATGCACTGCTTACTATACACACAGGGAATGAATACATTCATACATTGATGGTATTTTCTTCTTTTTTTTTAATTTTTATTTTGGTATCATTAATCTACAATTACATGAAGGACATTATGTTTACTAAGC